GCAAACGGTCGCGACGTACGAGCGTAAGCAAGTGGCCAGCAGCTTGTGCAAGGCCTCACTTGCTCCGTACGACGCGAGTTTCCTGCAGCGTTAAAAATTGTCGTGTAAATGTGGAAAGCGAACAGCTTGCAGCCTGTGCGAAGCCTTGCTAGATGGGTATGGCGTGAGCTACTTGCAACCTGTGCGAAGCCTCATGCACACAGTCTCGTAAGAACCATGTAACAGGAGTGAGGGACCGACAATCTGTGCTTTGCGAGACCTCTCTCCCGAAAACTACCCATAACGCCCATGAAATAGCATGAAAAACTGACCAAAATGTTACAAAAACTCACCCAACTTGTAGATACAACAAAAATTATTGAATAAAAACAATGAACTTTGCTATAATAAATGGCTGAGCAAATGGAGAGGTCTGAGAATATACGTCTTCCACGTAGCGCCGCTAAGAGAAGTATGGCGGGCGGGATGCAATGTACTGCTGGTAATAAATCTCAGCATATGGTTAGCGCCCTCTACGGAATAATGCATATATGTAGTAATACTCTAGGGGTAAGTAGAGCACAGTAGGATAAGAACATTTACTTTTTAGAAATTCTGAAAGATTTTTGAAGAGGAACTGCCAATAATGCATGTATGATACTGTTCTAATGAACCCTGAAGGTGTGGATGACAATAAATGTGTCTGCATTGCCTGGCCCACCACCATTAAGTTGAGGTACCGTATGCTTAAAAGATGTACATAGAATGCATGATATGACATGTTACATATACACTGAACGTGCAGAGTTGTAAATGAATCAAGTCATTGACTTTGAGTCTCTTTTTTAATAGAATGACTCAACTCAACTCAAGTCAAAGGACTAAATTCAACTCTAGTCTTTGAGTCGCTGATTCGACTCAACTGGTGTGGTCTGGGTTGATCAGAACATGCAGATACGCGTCCTTGAGATCCAGGCAGGTGGCCCAGCAACAGATTAGCAGAGAGTCGAGAGTGTCCATGTGAAACCATGTGGGTTTTATGAAGCGGTTGAACTCCAGGCAGTAACCGAGTGAGATGGTGGCAAGTACCCACCAGTCCGAAGTGATGTGGATCCAGGACCTGGCACAATGGGGCAAATGGGCACTGAGGGGTCCTGTGATGGGGGCCCATTGTTGGTGAGCATAATCACTTCTGCCAGCCGAACCACTGCCGAAAGGCGGCAGTCAAGACCAAAGGGTGGGAGGTGGCTCGTGGACTTGCAGAACATCACCCCAATGACCAGAATCGGGGGCCAGTTTATCACGCACGTTGTCAGCATCGGTAGGCGTGGTGAGATACTGGGTCCTCTCGTCTGCCGGGAAGGAGTATAAACTCAAAAGGCAAATAGGTCAACGCAGTTTGGGTTGGTCAAATACAAACTGAATCTGTTGCGAGCAAACCTGATCGAAGGGAACCACTGGGGTGGGATCGGGCCGGAGAGACTAGCGAGTCAGGAGCCATTAGTTATTTGAATAATTTTGGCTGTGTAGTAGGTGCGATCTTCACAGGTTCAGGGAATCCCAATGAATGTCTCATATTTGTTGTACCAGGTGATAAAGCGAGGCCATGGAGGCTGGCATACTCAAGTCCTCTTCATATTCGGCCTCGACCTCACAAAATGACTGAGAAGAGGCAACATCTTGGTCTTTGGCAAGAAGTTCAGACAGCACAGGAGCACCTAGAGAACTAGGGGCAAATACCGACATGATTGGAGAGTCCGGTGGACAGGAAATCGTGTGGGGTTTGACAGGGTTTGGAGGCGGCCGGAGCTGATAAGGGGGCGACGAGCCCAGATCAGCCGCTCCAAACAGACTACTGTCTGTTTGGAGATGGCTGACAAGGTTTCAGACAAGTTCTGAATTGCTTGAAGCAAAGCCGTGTCCTTAAGAGAAGACATATGTCACTTGTGGCTGACAGAACTATCAGTGGACATATATGTTGACCTGCATTTCTTCTTCTTCTAAGAAGATGAATCAGCTTCTGATTGTAGAGGGACTCCAGAAGCAGCGGGAAGTCTGATGTTACTGAACCAATCAGAGAAACCAAACCAAAGGCTGGGGTGAACAAAGTTCAGTCACCGTCTTAGCAGGCGGGGCCCTGGCACTAGGATCGCCAGATATTGGGGCCGTGGATATGGCCGATGAGGCCGGCTGAGTAGTGTTGGATGTGGTCGCGTGGCCAGCGATCTCCTCATGGGCAGGACTGGGCTGAATCTTTTAGGTGTTCCTGGGTTTGGAAATCACCGAAGATTTCTTTTTGGGAGCCCGTGGATGACATGACTTCAGAATGGGGAAAAAGGCTCAAATAAAAGGATCCTTAAAAACAGCAACCGAAATAATCGGAACGGCCAGAGCAATAGTGTGGCGGCCAGCACGATTTTCAGGGGGCCAGTAAACTAGTCTGAAAGAGAGCGACAGGCCTATCGTACAAAGTATGTATCGCTCTAATATTCTAGTATAAATTAAGTAGTATGTCGGAAGCGTGCAACTGCGAAAGTGTGTAGATAACAAAACTGCCGGATAAATAACAGCGATTCGCCAGTTAAATAGGGGTGTTCGTGTAGAAGACAAAAGCACCGAGTATTTGGTTCAGTGTGAAGGATTTGCTAATGCCGAAATCTCATGCTGACTGGACGGTAACTGGTAGCGTAGGCAAGGAGGGGGGGGGGGTGGCTTGCAACTCTTGCGGCACTCGCCCCGTGCAATGTCTCATCTGTTCTGTACAGCAACACTGCTGTGAGACAACAAAAGCTCCCATTTAAATAACAGCGAAACGCTGGTTAAATAGTGGCGTTCGTGCTGGCATGAGGGATGTGATGAAAAGCGAAAAATATCATGCTGATTGGATGGCAACTTGTAATGTAGGTAAGGGGGAAGTGGCTTGCAACTCATGCGACACTCGCCTCGTTCGGTACAGCAAAACAGCTGTGAGACAACGAAACATGCTGGTTAAATGACACAGTATCGCTGAGTAAATAACCGCAGTCATTTTGAAGACGAAGACCCCAAATAGTCGGTGCAGTGTGAGGGATTGGCTAAGTAGCTAATATCACGCTGATGGGTCGGTAAATAGTGGATGAGTGGCTTGCAACTCGTGCGACGTTCCCCTATGCAAAGCCTTATCCGTGAGTGACTTTCAGACCGTGTAAAGCCTCATGTGAACGGTTGTGATGTACGGGCACAAAGTGAGTAGCCAGCAGCTTGTGCAAGGCCTTACTTGCTCTGTACGACATGAGTTTCCTGCAGCCTTTGTTAAGTCTCACGTTAAAAAGTGGACTTGTTAATGTGGGAAGCGAGCTCCTTGCAGCCTGTGTGAAGCCTTGCTAAATGGGTAAGGCAAGAAGTACTTGTAACCTGTGCGAAGCCTCAGGCACATGGTCTCGTAATAACTGTGCAACAAGAGTGAGGGACCGGCAACCTGTGCTGTGTAAGACCTCACTCCCGAAATGTACCCGTAACAATCAAAGAAATATCACGAAAAAACGGCCAAAATATTACAAAAACTCACTCAACGTGTAGAAGTAACAACAGAAGACATACAGTTGAATAAAACTATGAACTTAGCTATAAAATGGCCGAGGAAAGACTGAGAAAATGTGCAAAGCGAGAGCTTTGTAAATATACGTCTTTCACAAAACGCCACTAAAAAAAAAGAGAAAAGAGGAAGTGTGGCAGGTGGGCCGCAATGTACTGTGGGTAATAAATTTTAGCGAATGGCTAGCGCCTTCTAGGGAATATTGCATATGTTCAGGGTGAATAAAAAACAGCGGAACCCAAACCCCCAAATTTTATTTCATAGTTGAACAAATATGTAGCACCAAAAATAATAATGACTGGAAAGCCAATTTCATAAGGTACTTTTAGATGAAAAACTGAAATTGGTCAATCTGTTCAGAAATTATCACCATTTATGTTAAACACAAAACATATGTTAATCTGAGATAATATATGTAAATAGTTCAGGGTCAGGAGGTCAACGCTCATATATAATTCAGGCTTCAAAGGGTTAAATGGTGAGATTCTTTAAAACGATTGAGCAATTTCAGTAATTTTTCATCTAAAAGTAGCTTATGAAATTGGCTTTCCAGTCATTATTATTTTTGGTGCTACATATTTTTTTAAATAAGAAATATATTTTATGGGGTTTGGGTTCCGCTTTCATTGACTCACCCTGTAGTAATACTCTACGGGTAAGAAGAGCGTCGTAGAAATCATATTTTTGTTTTGAAATTGATGCCGCCTTATCAAAAATGTCATAAGAAAATCTGACTAAATCATTCAGACAACAAGATTACCAAAAATGGATTTAACATGTTTGAAAAAAATATGGATAAATTTGTGGTAGATTCTAAAGACTGTTTTTTTATCCAATGCAGCTTTATTGCATCTATTTATGACTTGCAGCAAAAATTTAAGCTACTAACCCAGAAAAATACATACCAATGTTACTTCAGAAACCTTGCTCACAGTGAACATAGGACTGGTATCAAATACCTTGAAGGTGGTTTCAAAACGTTGCCCGCGGGCACACTTTTTACATGCGAGTTTGTGACCGAACAAGTTACGTGATACTTGTTCCCGTTTTTTTTTTTAACAATGGAGTAGTCACTTGGCTAAATTTTCAACATGTTGTTACATGTTTGCACCCTACTTTAGAAGATTTTGAACAATTATATTGTTTCAAACAACAAAATCACAAAAAGCAAAGATTTCACATGTACCTTTATGCATTAACTCACTTTGAAACAAGAAAACCCCTAAATTACTGATTATTAAAAATGCATATAAAAAAGGTAAAAATAAAACCCTTTTAAACAAAACAAAAATTGTCATAGAAAGGAATGAACAGAGAAGGAAATGAATACAGTATGTTAGAAAGTATGGCCAAAAGGGTGATGAGAAGATGGAAAACAAATGGCTCCACAAATGTGGATGGGGCTATGACAAGGTGCAAAATAAGACTGAAGAATCGAATCCCATACCTCCAAATGCAAGGGCGCTCCTCACTGACTCTGTGGCAGTGGGGCGAGTATAAAAAGCAGTCGGGTGTTAATAACCTTGAAAATGTATTTTAAAAAACCTGGAAATGTTTGCAGCAGCCCTCCAAAAGGTTCACTTCTTTGGACTGGGTGATAAATGAATTATGATGTCATCATTATTATTTTGTTTGCTGTTTAATACAACTAATGTAACTCTGAGATCCCCATTTTCTGCACAGTGCAATCTATACGAAGTTTCATTTCATTACACTGTACATGGCGGATTTTGATGTGCATGAGTATTTGCAGGTTCTTTCTGGTCTCTGTAGAAGGCATTACATTTTCATGGTTGCTTGTTACTTTCTTGATAAATAACAAGTAACTCCAGACTGCTTACATTCCAATAGGTTGAATTCCAACATCTTGTAAAACATGGCCACATGACTTACCAGCCATATCGTGGAATATAATAAGTAAATTTGGAAGGCATTGGCAGGATTTAGGAAGGTACATGTAGAGCCCAGTAACAACTACTCTACGGGACTGGATGCCCCTTGAAGTTCAAGTACAAAGAATAAAATGTGTGATTGGGTTCCTGCAAAGTGATGGATTAGGGAGAAAATCTGTGTTTAATGCACCAAGTAAGAATGGGTCAATAGGGTTCGCTCAATGACGGCCATCTCTGTAGGAGAACTGCAACTGCATGTTTTACGCAATCAAGCAAGCATTGCGCACTGTTGAAAATGTTCTTAACACGCGCTTGTTGCTCGAAATGTGTTTGAAATATGACGCAGCCGATGTGCGTTATGTAAGTTGACGCTCCAAATGCCGAAGCACGTGGCTGGTCTGTAGGAAATGACGCCATTTGAACGAGACCTATAAGTCACTAATGTCAATGTTTGAACTCACTTGTGGAGGATTCAGGCATAGTAACACCAAGCGTTGTAATTAAATGGTGGATGCCTGGATTATTGATGATATTGAAATCGCACAGCCCTTCCAACATTGCCCAGCGATGTAACCGTTCCTTCAGCTCCGTAGTGACCTCTGCCAGAGCAGACCTGCATTCAATGATAAACCTGGTTGTTTTTTTGCAACTGACAAGATTTAGCTACACATTTACTTCAAATTGTTTTACCCACAATTTAGCCCTAGTTTTTTGTTATCAAACTTTCTTTTTTGCATTCAACTTTTGACTGAGCTTGAAATTTCTGAATCTTAATTTTGGTCCATGTGTGGGCTCAGTGCCCGAACTTCTGTTTTATGTACTCACATAAAGTGATGGGACTTACATAAAGTGATGGGACTTAAATCAAATGGTGCATTGCAGTTGCTTGTCAAAATCATGTAGCGACTTCAATGGCAAACACTCGGCCTAACCTTTTTTTTCAAACTGAAAGTACATGCCCACTTATTGACTTTTGCAATGTTTGCATGTTGTGTAGCATGCATACATGACAAGAATGATGTTAGGTGTAAGCATCAACTCTGATGGCAACTCCAAATGGATTAGTAAGTGTCATCCACTTATTTGAGTTTGCAATAAATACAAAAATTGAGATCTGGTATAATGGGGGGCGTGCGCGAAATAATGGGAAAAGTGTAAACCATCAGCAAAAGCATGTTGAGAGACCCACATTTACATAAAATGATACTGTTTTAAGACCATCATCTATATGGGTAGATATTCCCTTGGATCATATCCAAGAAACTTCACAGAGTTGAAACATGTCTTGATTTCTTTTCTTTTTTACAAAATCTTGGATGGTGACCAACCTATTGATTGAATTAGCATATTTCCTAGTAAATTCATGATTTACAATGAAAATCCGAATTCTAGTATTGATGCAAAACTTAAAATCTGAAGTAAATCAATGGCATGTTCTTCAAATTTGGTACTCTATGCCACGTAATAGTGCCCGGACTCTTTAGTTGTGATCCATCCAAATCCTTTGACCCAAATAGTGGAATTGTTGTTGATATATGATGGTGGGATAAAATTCATATGAAACATAAAGTCCAGCTACGACAACATAGATTAAAAATTGTCATGATCCTGATATGTATAAAACTCCAAGAAAAATTTACCTTGCATTGACTATTCGTGCATCTACATCGTCTAAAATGTTACCATGGGCAATGCGGAATGAACCCATGAATGTTCCTCGCTTTTTACGAATCTTTTCAACCTGTTCAAATCCAAAATAAAAAAAAAATTATCTTATTTTTTTTTACAATACAAATATGCTGAAAAGTTGGTCCCCCTTAAGGAACTTTGTTATAAACTGAAAAGTATTAATTGAATCATTATTATATGAAATACAGGGTGTCCCGCAAAATACCAAGCCCTCAAAGCACTTTTTTTTCATAGCTTAAAATAAAATATATGTAGCCCATAACGCACACACGTCAAATGTAGACCAACATGTCAAAAAATGTATGTGTACATGTTATTTCTATGTGATTTCAGATTTTCAAACTGTTCGAAATCACCTGAAAGCACTTGTTCGACACATGTACACTTACAAGTACAAACATACGTGTACTATTTACAGTGTGCGTGCATTTTTAAGCGTCACTGTGAAACACATCTATATATATAAGAGAGAAGTTTACTCGCCCCCGAGACGATGTTTGCTCCTGAAAGGATCCGAGACCGCGGGCTCCCGCGGCGCCAAAATCGCTCCACATCCGTGGAAAAATGCGGAGGGTGTCTTCCGCCGGGTCGGACACTTCGGGTCGTCCTAATTTTCCCGTACGGACCGGCGATCCGTTTCGTCGATTTTTCGTGACTGCGTTTTGCGAACGAATTTGCCGTCGTGTGCGCTTTCACGTTGACTGCCTGGCCGCCCCCTGTGCTGGCTTTACTGCGAGTCTAGACTGTGCGAGGTCAGCGAGGTCAACGTAGGGGTTTCGTTTACGTGTTCTACTCGGCCGTTCGGCAAAAGTGTTCACTAAATGGTAGTATGGGGTGACCTTGGCAAAATATTTTTTCTCCATGGTGCGTGGCCACCAAGTGTCCCTATTGTTTCCTGTGCTTTGCTTGCCGCTTCTGCGCCGAGTGCAACGAATACTCAGAAGGACTACACATTAGTATGCCTTGCGCGGTCTGACCAATCGAAAGTCTACACTGCATAGTATTTCCGGGCTATGCAAAACTGTCGATGGCAACGCGTACTGCAGCCTGCTCAACACCCTGCAAACGAGGTTGGGTCTACGGTGCTCGCTATTTGAAGCGCAAGCCTGTGACGTCGCGTGATAGAGTGCTGTTGCTTCCATAATGTGTTTACAGCTCCATGCTTCCACCACCACCAAGGCTGAGCGTTGTGAGTTCGCTGCCCGCCACGTATAATTCAGTGTCGCGTTATAATTTCGGGGGCCTGTTTGGGGTCAACGAAAGATCGATGCATTGCTTCAAATATCGCGATCTTAAACGAAGTCACAAAAAAATCGACAAAAAAGGGCGACCCGGCGGAAGACACCCACATTTTTCCACGGACGTGAAGCCGCGGTCTCGGATCCTTTCAGGAGCAAACATTTCTCGGAGGCCGAGTAAAACTTATAAATCAAGTAATATAAACCAATCATCTAACAGTGGCTTGCGGTTACCAGCAACAGCACGCGCGCCATGGCTGTCTGGGGCCAGACGACGGCTGCATGATTTACGTTAGTAATTCTGCATTTTCATTGGTCAATTCACAATGGGTAATGCATTATGCATGTCTACCAAATCGGTAGACAAATGTAAAGAAAAACATAAGCGTTCTCCACGAGATGGTAAAGGCCCTCGCGGCTTCGCCGCTCGTCCTAGTCTTTTTACGTGTCAGCATCCGGGGTGCGTCACGTGTCCGGGTAAGCGCGTGGGACTTGACTAAAGGCTAGCACAACACACGCAAGCAACGGGATAGAATGTCACGAAAGTGGATCACACCATTTACGGTCTAGGGGTGTACAATGTTTTTTTTAAAGAACAATTTATCAGCATTTCCACCATTTTAGAAGTCCGAAACATTTCCTTGTTCGAAACGAGGTTCTTCATCATCACAATATTTTTTTTTTAAACAATCTATTCGATAAACGATGTAAAACTCAAAAAAGGGTTAAAACACCATTAACAGTATCAATGGATGATCCGAAATATCATGGCGAAATGTCACATTTTTCCTAAGGAAGTCGAAATCGAATGGATTTTTGATGTTTTTGTGGTTGCTGAAAATGACAATTTGATAAGTTTGGTAGTTAATCTTTCAACCTAAGTTAAATTACAGTCAAAACTTCGGACTTTTTGTTCAAATTTATGACATAAAATTACCTGTTGTTTGATCATGACTGCAGGTAAAATTACCTGTATAACATGTACGCACTGGACAACGTTCATACACAATTCTGACTGAAAGTACTCTCAATATTAGGCTTAAAAAAATGCACCTTTGTGATGATGTCACATGCCCTTTGATGACGTCATCTTGACAACACAGTTTTTCATTATGGTCTTGGTTTGTACCAAGTTTGAAGTCAATCCAATGAAAGGGAGTGTCACATCAGTTTCAATTATTTTTGAGGTGTACATCATTGTTGGTTCCAATCGAGTAAAATTTCACTTGCCACCCCTACTAAGATAATGAAACCTCCCAATCTTAGCCAATCAACTTCGCGTAAAGTTCCGGCTGGCTGCAAGCTAGCCAATCTTGTAAAGTGCATTCGCCAGCATTCCATTGCACAACCCCTAGTGTTGCGTCACAGCATATTGTTACAGCCGGCCATGGGTTTTGTTCAGGATAGTACTATAGTGAAAACAGAGGGAAGACTGTTTAGGAAAAGAAAACATACAACAGGAAGATGGAAGTAAAGGATAGGTGTAAAATCGTATTGCATAGAGAGAGGACAAGATTTTTGCTGGAAGATTGAGGATGTGCTTTGATATACCCTTTGGCTAAATTCAGGGTCAAACCAGCCGCCGACAGACTACACCTATCTGTCCTGATCGCAGTGACCCTCAGCCAAGCAAAAAATCCAGCAAAACAAATCCCGTAAGTGTTACAGCTTGTTATCATTATCACTTGTGATATTCCATGCTATAAACTGTGTTGTTAAAAGATTGAAGTTTAATCAAGGAGATGCATCCATCCTAACAATTTTATGCACAACAGCTTTAATCCTAAATATGATTGAAAATATATTCTCTCGTTCAGGAAAGGACACTTTTAAGCAGAATTAAGCACTTGTGAGAGAACCCCTCCTATTATGCCCAAACATGAAGTTTTTGTTTTAAAACTATTTGTCTCCAAACAAGAGGTTCACTTAGCTTCATTTTGGAAGTTATGATGAAATTTCCCCTGAATTTTCATGCATGTAAACCAGTGTTCGATTTCCCTTGTATCGCATCGCATCGCATTTTGCGAAACAATGTCCACAGAACCATTCTCTTAGTTGAGAAATTATTCGCACATGGTGTTTCCTCAAACCTTTCATTATTTAGTGTCTCCACCATGCAAAGCCTCAAATCTTAATTACACATCGCACATTGTGCGATGCATAATTTTTAGTGTGTTAAGTTGGTCAATCGGGCCGTTGGGTGACTGAAGGTCTCCCAAACTCTCGTACGCTTCACCTTAAAATCTCACCATCCTTTATCCTCCAAAACAGACAACTTTCTGCTATCAGAACATCTGTAAACGTAAACATTCTGTGGTGAAAACAAGCATTTGACGCACGTGTTGAGCTGCTGTGTATGTACAGTGTGTAGTCCCTGCACAACGCTAGCCTTTAGTCAAGTCCCACGCCCCTATACCCAAACCATCCGGACACGTAACGCAACTCGGATGCTGGAACGTAAAAAGACTAGCACGAGCGGCAAAGCCGCGAGGGCCTTTACCATCTCGTGGAACTAATCACTTATTCATTTATTCACGTAATATAAATCAAGTAATATAAACCAATCATCTAACAGTGGCTTGCGGTTACCAGCAACAGCACGCGCGCCATGGCTGTCTGGCGCCAGACGACGGCTGCATGATTTACGTTAGTAATTCTGCATTTTCATTGGTCAATTCACAATGGGTAATGCATTATGCATGTCTACCAAATCGGTAGACAAATGTAAAGAAAAACATAAGCGTTCTCCACGAGATGGTAAAGGCCCTCGCGGCTTCGCCGCTCGTCCTAGTCTTTTTACGTGTCAGCATCCGGGGTGCGTCACGTGTCCGGGTAAGCGCGTGGGACTTGACTAAAGGCTAGCACAACACACGCAAGCAACGGGATAGAATGTCACGAAAGTGGATCACACCATTTACGGTCTAGGGGTGTACAATGTTTTTTTTAAAGAACAATTTACCAGCATTTCCACCATTTTAGAAGTCCGAAACATTTCCTTGTTCGAAACGAGGTTCTTCATCATCACAATATATTTTTTTTTAAACAATCTATTCGAAACCATGTAAAACTCAAAAAAGGGTTAAAACACCATTAACAGTATCAATGGATGATCCAAAATATCATGGCGAAATGTCACATTTTTCCTAAGGAAGTCGAAATCGAATGGATTTTTGATGTTTTTGTGGTTGCTGAAAATGACAATTTGATAATCTTTCAACCTAAACGAGACCTGTTTGTTCTTTGGGCGTGCTCTGACAATGCATATACGGGAACATTTGATGGTAGTTCGCTGGGCCGTGGGCCCAGAAGCGCGGGATGGCTGAGCCCCGGGGGCCGGGCCTGGCGTCGCGCCAGGCCAGATGGGGAGGGATAGATAGCAATTCTCGCTGTTTATTTCTCAACGTCATCATGTACATGTATGTACAATTATTTACGTTATATTTTTTACAAATATTTTTTACAAAAAATTTCCTTCTTCAAATAGTGTTGTGGCATGTGGGAAATTGCAATCGCAGATGATTTGTTTCTGTAAGAGATCCGTGCAACCATAATTATGTACGATATGAATCTTATGATTATTTTACATTTGTCTTGCCGGCAATCTATATCTGCTGATGTTTTATTTACAAACTTAAACTCTGAACTACCTATACTTAAAATTGAAACTGGACTGAACTAAAACCAAGAAAATACTGGAAAAAATTGTAAGGGCAAAAAAAAAACCACCGGAATTCCGAAAAAAAAAAAAATGCAAATTACATGCAAGAAAAGGAGGGAAACTTATGCAGGCGTCAATTTGAAGCCTGAACCCACCCTCCTCACGTCATCACCTTTCTTCACCTGAGCCAATTATGTATAAGGTCAGGATTTCACCACCACTTCACTCTATCAGCAAATGTGTTAGTCCAGGCTTCACCCTTTGAATATTTCCATAGGTGAAGCTTCACTTTTTCAGTCTTTGCCAGGTCTGACGCCACCACTGTTTCACCATATTGGCCATCTGCATAGTTCAAGCTTCACCTCTATTAAAATCAAGCTTCATTAATGTTTACTTATAACTAGACCATGACTGCAATGGTTAAATTTGTAATTCCACACTGCTAAAAAAGTACCAAGTCAACCAGGTTTCAATCCAAAGATACAGTGACATTTATTTTGTAAATCCAATGTTTCTACAAACACATTTTTGTTAAAAAGCATGAAGTTTATTCGAAAGTTGTTTTAACTTTGACACTTGTTTACAAACTCTAACTCTTGTTAACTAACTATCAAACACCAACTCCTGTTAAATAACTGTTATTTGTAAATGAAACATAATGTTCATTCCAGACAAATTCCAGTAGGTGATTCAAAACCACCACGTACGTTCGCGATCGCCTTTCCTTGCTGATAAGGACAGGGGACCAGTCTAGTTCGCCTCGTTGCTAACTTTCGCCAACGTTGGCGCGGCGGCGCACAGCTTGTTCGATCCACTCAAAATGAGATCGGTAGCAAACGTGCGCAAACTTGGCAACGTTTGCGCAAGTGGAACCACCACAGGATACAGTTTGCAAGGTGGTGCGGCGCGCGATGTTAGATTGTGTGTATTTGTGTGGGCAAACTTCAGTTCAAAAATTGCGCGCACGCAAATTCCAAGTTGGCTTGCGCGAATTTCAAAACAGGCCATCTTAAGATTGCATCACAATTACAGTTGTTTGAAACGCCACGACTTCGACATACTTTCGGCGCGACCGATGTCGTGGATTCGATGTCACATCACCAAACACAAATAAGGCTCGTCAACGCTTCACCCTTTCATCAACTTTATAGGTGACGCTTCACCCAATTATTAAAAAGGAACGTTACGGCTTCACTATAACAACAAATTATTGACCTGAGGCTTCGGCGTCGAAACGGCGTCGATATTTTGCGACCTCTGAGGAGGGTGGGTCCACGCTTCAAATTGACGCCTGCATTAAGAGGACAGGACAGCATGATTTAATTTTCGAAGTCATCGACTCGTGAGATTGGGGCAGTGTACTTAATAATATGTCTAATTACTCCTCTGTTTTAGTTTAATTTTGATTAAGTTACAGTGAGTTTAAATTTGAATGCAATGTATGGTTAATCAAATGCCAAAAGGATTTGTTCTGGCATTTTGAATTTTGATAACTAAAAAGCTTAGCTTTTGACAAAACATTGAGGGAACTAAGCATAAAGCATCCTAGCAACAATGTACAAATTCTGTCATAAATACCGTTACAATCCCTTTCAAACAAAAAATGCAGATGAAAATACACGTTTCTCAACTTTGAGTACAGAAGAAACTTTGTAAGAGCAAGAGTAATTGAAACAAATGAAATAAAACTTATTATAATTAAATTGTAAACAAGTTCTGCTCAAAAATTGCAGAGGAAGGTGGCCAGGAACCGCCTCAGATGGCACCACGGAGCATCCAGTGACCCAAACCCACGCCGTAAATGGCTTCAAGCTCTACGCACTTGCTGGACTTGGCTCTTCCTACAAACATTTTCAGACTTTTGGTTACATCCCCACATTCAGGAGGGAAATGTACTCATGTTAAATTTAATGGATATTCAATGATTTAATACAATTGTATTGTGTAAAAAAACTGCTGCACAAATTATGTGAATTGCTATACAAACAAAATATTGCATAACAGTGTTTGCTATGCAATTTTTTTAAAAGGAAATCGAACACTGATGTAAACAAGTGTGCAAGCCTTACACCCAATGTTTTATATTTATTTATATAATAATTTTTAGAAGACCTTAAACATTGTAAATAGAGACTCTTCGACAGCTGTCGGTAATACCTCCCATAATCTAGGAAATCTATGAATAAGAGGATGATGAGCAGCATTACACCTGGCTCTTTGGTGGTGCAACTTCCCAACATCAGAGTGTCTAGCATTATCAAAAAGCAATGTAATTATCAAAATGAATGTCAAATTTGTTATTTTTAACAACAGACACAATTGAAAGACTAGAGGTTGTAGGAACAACCACACGGTGTTGGGCTATCGTGTTTGTGTTGATGGCAAGAAATTTAACAAAAGTTTGCTAAAAACACTGACAGTCTAGAATGACAGTTAGAGAAATGTCAAAGGCAAGTCGATGCCCGTCCGTAAAAAGCAAAATCAGATCTCTCACAGTTAATTTTTAAAGATGAATCAAGTGGTCTCAACATTTGTGCATGCCTATGCTGCTGTTGTGTTAACTTATCAAGTACAATCGTTACAAAAACCCATTAAATAGCTCATATCTCTAAAAGTGAAGGTCACACACCATTGGCCCAACACAAAATATTGCTGATCATACCCTCTTGAACCCATTGCGCGTGTTTTTAGAAGAAAAAAAAGCGCCCAAATTAAAAAAACAAACGCCCAATTGGGCGCTTTTGCCATCCCAACTTTTGAGTCTCACATGACATAAACAAAAGTCAAAAAAGTGCTTCCAGTATCAAGTTGTCATATACATGTAAACGTATACAAAACACCGGTAAACACTTAAAACAAATTGGTCCATCAAACAGCCGTTACATGTGGCTCAATAGTTAACATGAGAAAGTGGGAAAAACAGGTACTTCAAGAGGCGAGCACACTGTTTAGTGGGGAATACCCCAAATCTGAAGTGATTTGGTAGTCCACGAGGGGTCGATACTTACCTGCTAATTCCTACATGTGCATTATTCATTATAGGCCGCAGGCCCTAACCGCTAGATTTTATGTCTACCACAGCATCCTCTGGGCCAATACACAATACCCATGATGCCAAGCAGCATATTGTCCTCTTTTCTGAAAGCGAAATTACAAGAAATCCCACGCCCAATGTGGGGTAGGACGGAGGGAGAATTAGCAGGTAAGTATCGGCCCCTCGTGGACTACCAAATCCCTTCAGATTTGGGGTAGTCCACTTCGGGCCCTCTCTTACATGCTAATTCCTACATATGCATAGATTAGCACTGAAAGGAGGAGGGTATAGGCGAGAATTTCATAGGAACCTCAACTAGCAGTGAAAAGACCAACAAATGTATCGGCTCATCGTGTACCCCATTAGAAACATGTACATGTAAACTGAATGTGCATGCAATGTAAGTGACATGGTAACTCACCGCAAAGGGGTTACTCTCTGGTAGGGATCGTCCCCTCACTCCGGCGTCTTCCATGGTCGGTCGGGTCTACCCCATTGTCATGGTCTTTCTCATAAGTCAAGGGCGTCGAAGCCATGATAACTACATGGCCCATCTGCCCTTCAGCCAGTGTTGGTCCCTTTATGGGAAACCATAATAGCAAGACGGTACACAACCTGAATGGAACTGGTGCTGGCCCTTTCAAGTCAAACCATAATAGCAAAAGGGTACATAGCCTGAATCGGGCCAGTATTGGTCCTTTCACGGCAAACCATATGGCCGCCGTATGAAGTATCTGGACAAACTGACCATTTGACACGATCCCAGATACATGTAGTACTAATCCAAATTGTTGAGTTGCATTCCATGACCCTGAAAATATATGGGTAGACACCAAGATTTAGATCCTTAGTGGCTTAAAGATGCAATACACGTATTCGGAGATTTAGGTTTTAAATGGCGGCCATGTTTCAGATACAAGATGGCCACAATACTGTATTTGGACAAACTAACAATTTGACACTATCCCAAATTGTACAGTTGCATTCCTTGACCCTGAAAATGTATGTTTAGACACCAAAACTTTAATCCTAAGTGGCTTAGAAGATGAGATATTGGTAGATACAGGTTTGTAATGGCCGCCATCTTTAACATCCAAGATGGCCGCCATAATGTCATTGGATAAGTTGGATCCTATCAAAAATTTAAAGCTAAGGCATTGAGGAGCATGTATGGAAAATTTGGCGCTTTTGACCGGAATGTCCACATCCATTCACTAAGCTGCCTGACTAAAAGTTATGTTATAATGTAACTATAATATGGGTGATATAGGAAATGGGATAGGGAGGAATAAAAGCCCTTGGCTTCTCCTGACCCCCTATGCTGACGCTTCTGTAGATCCATCTTAAACTAAGCTAATCCAAATTTAATTTATGACTTGTTTTTCCTTGCACATTAGTTTTACTACTTATAATGTACACATACAATGTTAATGTCAGTGTAACCTGGAAAAATGACACACTTGGGGGAACTCGCACAAACTAAGACTCTATGGGGATTAACTAACAAAACTAAACTAAACTCAGGATCTTTGAAGGGAAAAGTCGCAAGGAAATTGCATTAATAGAGACCAGAGACGAATTCTAGATTTCGAACAAAAAAAGGACCAAAAAGAATTCACCAAAAAGAATGGCACCATCCTATACACAGGCCAAGTGAGTTAAATGAGAACAAAGAAATTGCAATGAAAAGCTAAAGCACATGGTGAAGAATTTAAGAAAATCTCTAAATCTAATACTAAGAAAATGTACAAGAAAAACATGAAAATCTAGAATGCAAATGAACTTTCAACCTTTCTTAGTAATAAAACAAGGCCAAAAAATCTATCCTAAACCAAGGTTAATGAAAATAAACAGAACTAAGAAACTTTTCTCAAAAGAACTCAAAAGAGACCGGTTCCATTGAAAAGACCAAAGCTTCCTTATTACAGTAGGAACAAATCAATCATCATGAAAAGAAGTAAAAAACACTAGTGTCTTAAGTAAAATAATAAATGGAAACAAAATGAAATAAAAAGTTGTAAAAGAATACTTCAAACTGGAGCTTCCTCAAAGATCTAAACTGACCAGAGTCAATTGAAAGCTAACAAACTTTCAAAAGAAAACTGAACTATATTTCTAATAATAATTATACATGATAAATGAAAAGTAGACAAAATACAAAAGAAAACTCACCAAATGACTCGAGCAGACAGAGCTCAAACAGGACACACCACTCCAGTTAGGAGGAACATAAGATACCGGTATACTATGAAGTTGTCTCTGTTGGTCTGCTAGTTGAACTGAAGTGTGGCTTGACCATGTGGCAGCTTTTATAGGGGGAACATGTGGGCTTAAGTAAACAAACAGGGGGAAACACTACCAACAAAGGGGGGGGGAATCTTAAGTGAAACTGAAATGGTCTTCTTTTCTAAGGGGAGCTACTCCTATTCAATACACTATACATTACATACATGAAAAATATACAAGATAAATTTGGCCCTGCCACACTCACGCCATCTTAAAATATTGCTGTCGCCAGCAATGGCGGAAAAAAACTTAATACAATTAAGACATGATAAAAATAAACAAACAAATGCAAAAATACACGATACAATACACAACAAATCTATCAGTCACTGCCTTTTGTCTGGAATAATTTAACTGCTGTCACGGGATGAGGTGTCAAACTAATGAGGTGGTGGGATAGTGTGGACCTCCTGATGCTGCGCTCTCCTTCGGTGCTGTTGCATGTAGCTCATAGTCTCGTTTTGAAGACTCGGCCAAAAGTAGCGGCGACGCACGAGCTTCAACACTTGTCCGTAACCCAGTGTTTCCATGCTGTGATGAAGACTAAAGAATATGCTTCCCTCATCCCGCGGGGAACCACCATCAAACACTTGGTCTGCGTACCTCCCGTCCTGTAGAGGAGCAGGCCTCCCTTGACTTCCAGTCGGTCCCATGCATGTAGCAGCCTCTGCACCATCTTGGGCTCACATGCCATCTTCTGCCTACTCATCCGCTGAGGATTTCCCAGCTTCAGATCAACCACTCGCCGTATGGCCAGATCTCTGCGCTGGACTTCTCGTAGACTTTGGCCTCCCGCCAAGCCTTCATCACCATCATGGCTTGCCTGGCCACTGGTTGGGGTATTGGCAGGGACTGCTTCTGTGCATCTTTGGGGGACTTCTTGGGCTTCGGGACTCTGGGGCTCTTGCTCTTCGGTGGGGACTTGGGGTTTGGGGGCATCTGCAGTTGACGGTGGGGTGGGGATTTCTGGAACCGGTGAGGCTTCTGCAACTACTTTGGAGTGGTGCAGGGCACACTCCAGCCTGTAAACATAGTCTCTCTGCCGTTGCTGTTCACCAATCACTTGAGAGATCGTTGCCTTCAGTGCGTTGATTTCCTGGAACTGTTGCAGGATGACTTGCTGCATACTGGCTTGAAGTTGCAGCAGTCCCAAAATAGTTGACTGTGGGTTGACATCAGTCGGTTCATTTTCTCTGACTTGATTGTGACCGTCAGGCAGTGGGTCAAATCCACACAACTGAAGCGGAGTCAAGACATCTGCCATCGTGAATTCGTCAGATCCACCAAAACAACACTGTGTTGGTTTGACTAGCTAGTTAAAGACCGCTAATGACAGAAAAAAAACTTTGAAAAAAATGACTAGTCCATATTAAAACAATTCCTGGCTAACTTCTAAAAAAAAACGTATTCCCTACCCGGATTCTCCACCAAAAACAGTAAAAAAATGTAACCGTGAAAAATGACACACTTGGGGGAACTCGCACAAACTAAGACTCTATGGGGATTAACTAACAAAATTAAACTAAACTCAGGATCTTTGAAGGGAAAAGTCACAAGGAAATTGAATTAATAGAGACCAGAGACGAATTCTAGATTTCGAACAAAAAAAGGACCAAAAAGAATTTATTCACAAGAACCTTAAACCAAAAACCAGAAACTAAAGCAAAGAATAAAACCTAAAAACCAAAGACTAAAACCAAAAACCAACACAGTGTGAATAGTGGATCTTTCAAAGAACACTCAAGCAGGAATAAAATCTGTAAACAAGAAAATACAAAAAGAGAAAACATATAAGGAAATGATCTAATGAATATTCATGATGTAATAAACAAGTTCTAAGATACAAAGGAAGTGGGAGACACTAATCCCCAAAGTGAAGGATTAGCAAGTAATAAAACAAGTCACCATCCTATACACAGGCCATGTGAGTTATATGAGAACAAAGAAATTGCAATGAAAAGCTAAAGCACATGGTGAAGAATTTAAGAAAATCTCTAAATCTAATACTAAGAAAATGTACAAGAAAAACATAAAAATCTAGAATGCCAATGAACTTTCAACCTTTCTTAGTAATAAAACAAGGCCAAAAAATCTATCCTTAAGTAAAACCAAGGTTAATGAAAATAAACAGAACTAAGAAACTGTTCTCAAAAGAACTCAAAAGAGACCGGTTTCATTGAAAAGACCAAAGCTTCCTTATTACAGTAGGAACAAATCAATCATCATGAAAAGAAGTAAAAAACACTAGTGTCTTAAGTAAAATAATAAATGGAAACAAAATGAAATTATAAAAAGTTGTAAAAAAACTTCAAACTGGAGCTTCCTCAAAGATCTAAACTGACCAGAGTCAATTGAAAGCTAACAAACTTTCAAAAGAAAACTGAACTATATTTCTAATAATAATTATACATGATAAATGAAAAGTAGACAATATACAAAAGAAAACTCACCAAATGACTCGAGCAGACAGAGCTCAAACAGGACACACCACTCCAGTTAGGAGGAACATAAGATACCGGTATACTATGAAGTTGTCTCTGTTGGTCTGCTAGTTGAACTGAAGTGTGGCTTGACCATGTGGCAGCTTTTATAGGGGGAACATGTGGGCTTAAGTAAACAAACAGGGGGAAACACTACCAACAAAGGGGGGGGGAATCTTAAGTGAAACTGAAATGGTCTTCTTTTCTAAGGGGAGCTACTCCTATTCAATACACTATACATTACATACATGAAAAATATACAAGATAAATTTGGCCCTGCCACATCAGCATGAATGAACAAAGCCAATACCCATGTACTGAGATCCAAAGTGCAGGACTTTGAGGCTGAGTTTCTCATGTTAGACCCGACTAATGAGTCAGTGGACACCAACTGCGAGTGCATCAAAACCACATTGTCTGAAATTGCGTCGCATCAAAACAATCAAAAAGTAAACAAAATCTGCCATGGATAACAATAGATGTCAAATGCAAAAATAGGGAACAGGGATAAATTATTCTCTAAAGCCCACAAATCAAACAATCAAACAGATTGGAAATGACATATCATTCATATTGTAATTATGTCACCAAACTTGTGAGAAGTTCCTATGTCAACAATGTCATTGGTAATAACTTACCTGAAAACCACATGTCTTTTTGGTCCTATGCTAAGCTCATGCGAACTGAAAACCAACCCCGGTCTGCAATCTGACAACAAAGTGTGGAGCTCAGACTTAGACAATGCTGAGGCATTAAACTCACACTTTAAGAGTGTCTTTAACAAACCAACAAGGTTGGGAAACCAACAGAGCAAGGGGAAGTCACCATACAAGCTATTTCATACCTCCACATCAGCATAGAGGGTGTGGCCAAACAACTCACCAAGCTCAACCCATCTAAGGCAGCTGGTCCTGATGAAATGTCTCCACGTCTTCTTAAGAACGTTGCTCATGAGTTGGCTCCAGCTCTGAGATTCTTAATTACAGTCATGTGACAAAAATACAGTACCAACTGAGTGGCCACAGGCTATGGTGACAGCAATCCACAAGAGCGGACCAAAAGCTGAAGCATGTAACTATAGACTTATCTCATTGACAAGTACCTGTTGTAAAGTGATGGAGCATATCATACTGAGTCATGCAGCAAAATACCTTATTTCAAATAATATTCTGATTGACGAACAGCATGGATTTAGGGACCGCCTATCAACGGTTACACAACTGGTAAATTCAATAAAAATGACTGGTCTGAAACACTCCATTGTAAAGGTCAAACTGATGTCATAGGCCTACTCCTTGATTTTAGCAAGGCCTTAAAAAACATCTCCCATCAGCTTTTAGCAGTGAAGTTGCAATACTATGGCGTTACACACAACACTCCAGGCTGGATAAATAGTTTTCTTTCACATTGTAAACAAGCCGTTTCTGTCAATGGAACACACTCTTCAAGGATCAGACTTAGGACCCATGCTATTTCTCTTATATATTAATGACATAAATGAACACATTCAATCAAATATCAAACTCTTTGCAGATGACAGTATTGTGTACAGGGAGATAAAGACAGCAGATGATCAACAGATTCTGCAGGACGATCTGAATACCCTTGTATAGTGGTCAAACAAGGGGTTAACATAAAAAAAATGCACAGTTCTTACCATCACCCGCAAACACAGCCCAAAGATGTACCGGTACACTCTCATGGGTGAGCAATTAACCTGTGTCCAAAAACATGACTACCTGGGTATTACAATTTCACACGACTTGAGATGGAAAGACCGTTGTTCCAAAATTAAACATAAAGCAAGCCGTACAACAGGTCTCTTTTGAAAAACTTTATCGCCTTGCTCACAACAGGTTAAGGCAAGAGCCTATACAACATTAGTTCGTCCACAAATCAAGCTAACATGTGAAGTTTGGAACTCCAATTAATTACTGGTAAAAAGCACCTTGAGCAGATCCAAAAGAATACTGCCAGATTTGTCTTTTCTGACTACCGAACAACAACTCACATCTCACTGCTCATAGAACAACTAAACTGGGATCTACTTCAAACTGAACAGCGCACTCTGTACTATAACATCCACCACAACCTAGTCAATAGTACATTCCCACAGTGCTGCTAGCATGCTACACATATTTAACAAGGTATCAATCATCCACTCAAATACACCTCTCTAATCATACCAACTATCAATGCATACAATTACGCCTTTTTCCCAAGGACTATGTCAGTTTGGAACAGGCTTCCACCCTCTGCCGTTCTACCCATAGCCCCATCCATACAGGCCTTCCAAACACCAGCCATCCCTGCCATCAGAGTCATGCAACCTCTGAATGGCAATATTGTCCTGTCATTTTGTTTAATCTCTTTCATCTGTAAAAAGAACATCATTTTTCCCCCCTTTTTTTTGTTTTCACTTTTGGCACCTTATCCATCTGGCTGTTTACGTCACCTCTGCACAACATCACAGTTTAGCCCAACTTGGGCTGCAATGGGATTACTCTACCAAGTACTATGGATAGTTCGAAAATATACCTCAAAATCCACATTTTCTTTTTCTCACTAAGAACAAGCTCGATTGGAATCTCAGAAGCTGCGGGCCAGCGAAATCGTATTCATGCACGAGTCACGTGACTGTGCCATGTAATTTCAGGAATGAGTAGTGAGTTAACAAAAAATGTCACATTTTTTACCCCAGTAACCCCATGTGACATGTTGGGGTTGGGCTACAGATACTTTTGACAAAGTTTGATTGAAATCGGTAAAAACATGTATGGGCAATAGACAATGTCAACGTTTGTTAGTAACTAATGGAGTAACGGAGAGACATGATGATTTGTTTAGCTGCTGTCAAGAAGCTTAAAAGTGTGGGGGGGGGGGGGAAGAGATGTAAGAATGGCTCATTCCCCCACCAAAACTTGTCAAAACGTGGGGGGTATAATGACCAATTGCATAAAAAGTATACTAAAATATACACAAAGAAAGAAACAGACAACAACCAAAAACTTGTAATTTTTCTCACAAGAACTCACCACATCCTTGGCTTCACGGAGCTGTTTATCAGCTGCAGTCTTCTTAAAAGAGTAGAATTTCTTTTCTGTCTCGTAGGTCAGCTGGAGCCACTGCTGTAAGACTGCTGGCGGGCGCCATCCACTGCCACTTTCTAATCGCCTCTCAGCCTCTTGTAATGCATTCCGTAGCTAAAAAAAGAAAATTATTAAGAAATAATATTTCTGCTTAGCAGAAATGACCTTACTGAATGCTTGGCAGTGCTTTAGATCTTGCCACACCGCAAATAAACAAACTACCTGAACAACTCTGAACTAACTGTTAGGTTAAAGCTACAATCCATCATTTACAGCAATCCAAACAGTAACTGACGTAATTATTGTTGAAAAACATACTCAGTTGAAAGATAGTAAGGTGACTAAACTCCCTGTGAAATTATTTTTTTCTGGCATGCTGTCATTTTGAAGAAAAAAACCAAAGAAGGCCTTTCCAACATTGGAATTTTCGTTTTTTTTTTTATTCAGCAAAGCGCGCGCAATCATAGGCACGATGCACACGTGCACGCAGTTGCTATAAATTGTCAGATCATTGCGCGACATCGCGTAGCTGCAATCGGCTCATTAAGAACGTGTCTCAAACGCTGAATTCAGGCCCAATTCAAAACATGATTCAGCAACTTTTGATTTGAAATCGAGATCCTAGAATGCTGTTTTTTTTTCTCAAAATATACAGCTGAAGCTTAGCTGAAACTTCATCAGGTTAGTTGTTCGGCACCCTTCTTTAGATTTTGAGCACGTTTGTTGCTTCAAACGAACAAAATGCACAAATTACAAATGATGGACTATACCTTTCAATTGTGGATTGTGAATATCTCATGAACTTAACCTTTTATTGTGGTGTCAGTGATTTAATAGGTGACTATGTTTTGTGTTGGTGAATTTTCAATGTGCAAACTTGAAATGATAATTAATCGACCCACCAACTACTATGGTAAGGATAGGGCTCTACAAAAGCACCCTGACACGACACTATGGGCTATAGTTGGTCATAACTTTTCTTTCGTGCATGATATGATGCATTACCAATGTACCTGAAATGTGCCGTACAAGCGCTGACCCCAAATTCCATTACAAGGGCTATGAGTACTTTCTTGTTAATTCATTTTATAAAACCCTACAAAAATAGTTTGTCTTACATCTTATATGGTCCTTTAATGTTTAGATGTCATTGTAAATCCAACCACCATTCGGCCTTGTGTCCCTAAAGGTGGATATTATAAGACATTTTATCATTTAAAATAAATGATCAAATGCTTTATTCTCAAAATTTCTCAGTTGGTGTTTTAATTTACTCATGTGTGAAATAATGCTTAGAATATTGTCACAGATTATAAACCCTTGTATATCACACATCAAATGAATTAACTGCTGTGTATACACAGTTTATAATAAGGGATTAGTTGCGATACATACCCGTACATGTACGATTTACTGATGATCTGGGGGGGGGGGGGGGGTGCTCGTACAGTGGACATTATTACCAGTAAAAAAATGTGGGTGTCTGAGCAAGGGGAGGGGGTGTTTATTCCATTTCTTTACCCAGGGTATGCCCAAACAGTTTAAAACTGGTTTCCATTGGGGCCCTGCATACAATAAATAATGACTACAAACATGTATAATTATACAATACATTACAAATACAATAACATTCAATACAGTGAGATAAACATTATTTGAATAATGCATAGGTGTTAAGCAAATATTATAAATACAGTATATTTTAAACTATTATAACTACATGTACAGTGTGAATGCTTTACTATAAGGTTGATTCAGTGAACACAAAAAATTTGGATCTATCTTGTAACATCAAGAAAAAAAAAGAAAAATATAGCTGTAACTGATTACGGGAGGGGCGAAAACCCTTTTTTGGGAGAAAACACAGGAAAATTCCCATCCGGCTCCTTATTATCTTCTTCTTATTATGGCAACCAAGTTTGTTAACTCCGTAGATCAGCACATATCTAGATTTGTATAATCAGAGAAGACAGCGGCAAATACACAAATAATTATTTGCAGAAATATTATTACTGACTGAACATTTTACGTAGTTCAGATTTGAATGAGGCTAGTGAAGTCATGGTTCTCAACTGCACATGTAAATTATTCCAGATGATTGTACCAGTTACAGCAAAGCTTGAGGCATAACATTTGTTTTTGCAAAAGGAATCCTCAGTGCCATATCAGTGGATTGTCTCATTTCACGAATCTGAATAAGTGGTGTAAACATATTTGTCATATACAAAGGAGTAATTTTGTTCATACATTTGTAAACAAGAATAGCCTTTTTATACTCTACTCTTTCAGCAAATGACATCCAATTAAGACTAGCAAACATATCGGCTGAAGGAGTTAAGAATGCACACTTCAGGATTATCCGCGCGGCTCTTTTCAAACATTTATTAAAAATATTGTCGTGTGATGTGTACCTTCCTCCCCATACAGTACTACAATAATCTAAAGATGGCAAAACTAAGCTAACAAAAAGAGAGTGCAGACTGCTTTGGGGAACATAGTCGCGGATTCTATTTAGAATACCTAGTTTAGAGGAAACTGTTTTCTTCACGTATTCAACGTGTGGGCCCCAACTTAAAGTGTCATCAATAATAACACCTAGACACTTACAAGAGTTCATCTTTACAATTGGACTACCAGCAATACTGACATTAAGGTCAGTACTGCAGACTTTTATTTTAGTTCCAATAAGCATGGATTTGGTTTTGCTGGTGTTTATTGTAAGTTTGTTTCTGACACACCAGTCGTAAATTCTCGCTAGGGCTGTATTCAAGTTGTTTTCTACTTCATCAACACTGGTAGAACTACACGTTAATGTGGAGTCGTCGGCATACATGAACAAATTACACTCACTATGGATACAAAGCGGTAGGTCACTTGTATAAATAATAAATAACAGTGGACCTAAAATTGATCCCTGCGGTACGCCGGTGTTAAGTGGTAGGGCTTTAGATATGTTGCCCTCAATGTTCACAGATTGACTACGTTCACTGAGATATGACTTAAACCAGTTGATAACAGAGGTTGACATATTAACCCTTTCAAGATTATCTAAGAGAGTGGCATGATCAACAGAGTCAAATGCTTTACTTAGATCTATAAAAACAGTGCCTGTTATTTCCCCACGCTCCATAGCCTCAAAATACTTGTTTGTTAAATCATATAAGGTAGTTTCAGTTGAGTGTGAGGGCCTAAACCCTGACTGACAACAAGGAATCAGACCACTTTCATCAAGGTAAGAGTACACTGCTGAGTGTATCCATCTTTCCAGAATCTTAGAGATAATCGGCAGTATAGCCGATAGTTAGTTGTGTTACACTTGTCTCCACCCTTGTGAATAGGCGTAACCAAGGCGTGTTTCCACTCATTGGGGTATTGTTCGCATCTTATCGAGAGATTAAAGATGTGCGTTAAGGATTTAGTTATGTACGGAGACGCTATTTTAATCATTTTCACACTTATTCCATCTGAACCTGTTGCTTTTCCGACCAACATTGATGATATTTGCTTTTGAACATAGTCTTCAGTTATCTCAGGCAGTAAGCACTTTTCATCAAGTGAATCTGTATCAAAAGAGTGGATATTGTTGTCCACTTCGAGTTCACATGGAGGGGCATTACTGGCCATACGTGTTCCGATCGTTGAGAAATGTTCGTTAAAAGTATCAGCAATGTCGGTGAGATCGTCAACGAATTCCCCATTCTGGGAAAAAATAGACCTTGGAATACTTTTCTGTTTATTGGGGAGAACCTCTTTTAGTTTTTTCCATAGAACGGAAGAGTTGCCTTTATTTTCCTCGATGATTGATTGAAAGTGTTCGCTTTTCTTGCTGCGGATTTAATCAGTGGTCATGTTTCGCAGCTTTTTGTATGCGTTCCAATCATTCTGTGAGCCTGAACATCTAGCCACTTTGTTTGCATGATCTCGCTGTCGCATAAGTTTTAGAATTTCCCCATCGAGCCATGGCAACGATGCACCACGAATACGCTTTGATTTCATTGGTGCATGGTGGTTAATAATACTCATAAACAAAGAGTGCCATATGGACCATGCTTCATTTACATCATGACAATGTTCCCATGGGGCATTAAGGAGGTCCTCTTGAAAAGCGTCATTATCGATATCTTTAAAACATCTGAAGTTAATTGAACATCCTTCTTTTTTGGGAGTTTTCCAATTATGAAGACCGTAAACAAGATAATGATCACTAATCAGGACAGGTAGGACACCACTTTCACTTACAAGTTCAGGATGAGAGCTAAAAATTAGATCAATGATTGTTTCAGTAAATTCAGTGACGCGGGTAGGATCATGAATAAGTTGCGTCATTTGAAACATATTAAAGCATGAAATTACAGGGTCTAAGTAAGTACCATTATCAATATCACATGCTCTGTGGGTTGAGTAGTTCTCCGACTTTCTCCAGGTATCGGTTCCATTCTTGGTCTTGGAGTCGATGATGGGCTTTGTGTGTCGCGGATTGAGTCAGCTTGGGTAGTGGTTGGTAGTGGATTGGCTGACGTCGTTTCGGCTGTCGTTGAGGGTAGTACTGGTTGGATGGCCGGAAAACCGTCGAAACATCCGGGCTAGCTCCGATCGGTTTCTTGAGGGCATCAGAGTACGACAATGCACCAAAAGGTGTTCTCTGCGGCGTGTATTCAGTCGATGGTGCACGTCGATATGTGTTCTCTGATGGTCCGGCTATGTGCTGTAGAAGGTTTTTGGCCAAAAGGCGTACTCCTGTGGTGTTGAGATGGATGCCGTCTGAGACAAGATGGTTCGAAGTTATGTTTCTGTTGTCAATAAAGTCCCAGTTGTTGCGCTGTGCGATGGATTTCAGCAAATCATTTGAATCATCGACCTTCTTACGTGTTGTTGTAGGTGTTGTTGGTTCCAACATGAAGAATTATGTCAGAAACATTGTGCTTACCTGACAGGTGTTTGGCGTTCAGAGCGATGTCCTCGATCTTTGCACCGCGCATGGTATGGCAGATGACTTTCTTTTTCGTACTCAGTTTTCTAGGTTGTAGTCGCTTGATCATGGAGTCACCGATGACCAAGACATCTGCTGTGGTGGCTGGGTTGGGAGTAGGTGGTTTGGTCTTTGCAGTGTTCCG